CTGAGAGCAGCCCCACCTTGGGAGCAGGAACAGAAGAGTTCTGTTCTGTGTGCTGGGAGGGAGTCACACTGCACAGATATTCGTGGGGCTCCTACAGAGACTCCTTTGATGAGAAGCCTCTCCACCCAGGACATACTTGCCAGAGAGAAACCAGATGCTTTGTTCTTATGTAAGATGTTCCGACATGTGATCATTTGAGAGAGGTGCCCTTTAAACGTAACCATCAGCTACATTTAAAAGTAGAGAGCTGAAAGTGATTATAGAAATTGTTTCATTCACCCCTTCAGCTTTACTTAAAAAGGAAACTGAGCCCAGACAACTGACAAGCTCAGAGTCATGAGAGATTTAGTGCTGCTAGTCTCATGACCCTTTCTCTACTGCTCATTTCTGATGAAGAAACCATTTAACTTGAACAGTAACTTGAAATAGTCCCAGAGTATAGATAAGTTCTCAACCCTTGTTGGTGTCGAGAAAATACAAGGTCTAAAAATGTGTGCCTTGCCTGTGTTTCAGGAACCTTTAGAAGCCATGTGGTTTTATAACTGTTGGTTAGAAAATTGCTACTTAGACCTCATCTTGGGTCATGATAGTACATTTCTATTCTCTCCTATGGTAGTAGCCATCTAATGAGCCAATTCACACCATGGCCATGTTGAAGTGAAGCGCATCAATTTCACGCTATCAAAGAACTTGATCGTAGCCTAGTTAGATGCACCTGACTGGAGCCCCCAGCTAGTTCAGAGACTAGCTGCATGGCAGTGGGAAGGGAACAACCTTCTGTCATCTGTGTCCGAGATGGCTTTGGTTGCAGGATACAGACTGGTGAAGGAAGAAGGGCTCATCTGCATAGCCTTGTACCTGCATGTGGAAACTGGGATCTCTGTTCCTGGGCGCCATGGAAAGAAGAGAATGAGTCACTGAAATGTGGAGAACTGAGGTGCCAAATGGGGACCCAGTTCGTTCAGTGTCTTTGAATACGGCCTTCTGCAGCCAACATTGAAACTCCCAGAGAAAGTTTTCCCTCTAACAAGGCATTAAGTATTTATAGCTGATCTGGGCGGGTGGGGCCAGGGGAGGCTCCACTTCCTTTGATTCTCCTGCCATCAATTGGCTTTACAGGCCAAGGAATTTCCAAATTGTGCCGTGGACTCAGGACTTACAAAGAGGATTAAAAGAAAGGCATTTAAAAATAAACAGGCTTTAAGTCTACCAGTGTGGCAATGGAAATAAATGTAAAAGTAATCATTTATTTTTGGTTTGATTCTAAAAGTAGTACATGCTCACTATGGAAAATATAGAAAATACAGAAAGGTGTGAACAAATATAGTATCCATAATCCCATCACCCAAACACACGCTTGCTAATTCATGAGAGCAGGACCTTGTGTTTCATGTTTGCTGCCACATCCTCAGTACTTGGAATAGTGCCTGGTATAGAGTAAGTACTTAATAGGCATTTGTTAAATGAATGAGTGTTACTATTTTGGTGTATTCATTTCCAGCCCTTTTTCTATGTATATTTTACATGATTGTAGTCAGTCGTCATCATTCTATATGATCTTTTTGTTTTTCAACTTGCTATGATAACACAGCTATGTCTGTATCACAACAACTCTTTACAAACGTTTTTTTTTTTTTAGACAGAATTTCACTCTGTCGCCCAGGCTGGAGTACAGTGGCACGATCTTGGCTCACTGCAACCTCCGCCTCCTGGGTTTACATGATTCTCCTGCCTCAGCCTCCCAAGTAGCTAGGACTACAGGTACATGCCACCATGCTGGCTAGGTGTTTTGTTTTTTGTTTTTTTTTTATTTTTATTTTTAGTAGAGATGGAGTTTCGCCACATTGGCCAGGGAGGTCTTGAACTCCTGAGCTGCAGTGATCCTCCCACTTTGGCCTCCCAAAGAGCTGCGATTACAGGTGTAAGCCACCACACCCAGCCTCTTTACCATTTTTAAAGGTGCTTAGTATTCCATGTATTGTGTATACATCATTTACTTATTGATGCTCATGTGGCTAGATATTTGAGATAAAATATCCATTGCAAAGGTAGTTTGTGAATAAGGCTTGCTGGGATGAGTAGACCAACTGGCTGTTTTACCAGGCTCCCTTATGTTCAACGGACCCTAAAAAAATTAATGAAATCATATTCTGTTTTTTACTTTCATAGTCTCACTGCATTGCATGCAGAAGTGAAAATAATGGTAGAGGGAGATCTTGAAATTAGAATCAGGACATTACCTTGTCAGTCCATTGTAACTAAGAAATATCTTTTGAATATTGTGTTTTATGAAGCAATGAATTCCGAGAACTAGTCATTATGCTAAGTTTTGGAAATACAGAATCTCAAGAATTCAACCGAATTAAAATACCTTCTATGTAGTCACTGCTTTCTCCCCTATTAAAGAATTCCCTGGTTAGCCTGGTTAGAGAAGGAAACTTTGTCCAAGTTAATGTAGCACCATCTGCCACTGAAAAGGAAAATGATCATCTAGGAGTCCCTCAGGATGAATTCTCCAGTTTTAAACATTGACTTTTATGGAAATACAAGGGATTTGACATGTGGTTTCTTGCAGGATCCCCTTGTGTCAGAACTGGATACAATCTTTTTCAAAAAGACTGAGTGGACTTCTGGCTCCAGATGGCTACAGAGTACACTTGATTAACCCCTCCTCCTGTTAGAAAATTCTATCAAAATTCAAAAAGAATATACAAATAGGGGGAAATGCATGTCAGAAACAGGAAACCATGGAAAGGGGCCGACATATTCTGGAACTCATGAGAACTTTCTGCATGACAAAGTGCAGGTGAGACTGGATTGAGGGAAGGGCTCATTAGCCTACCATCGGCCACATAAGAGGGAAAAGCCAAGGGAATGAGGGGGAGATTCCAGTCAAGCCCTCATTACCTACCAGCTCACAGTGGCAGGGGCTGGAGCTGAGGGTGGGTTATTTGGCATATAGTGAAAGGCAAGCGTAGATCCTTCCTCTGCTCTGGAGAATGCACTGGGTGGATTTTTTCTGCAAACTATTGGCACATGAAATTAACCAGGCATTGCTAAGCCTGGTTTCTAAGAAAGGCAGTCAAGTCAGTTAGGATAGAGTTATAATAGAGTTTCGATGTCTCTAACAAACTCTACCCTGTAACACTAAGTCCCAGAAAGCATTTAAACCATCTAGTTTCCAGGTTGAGTAACCAATATCCAAAGATTCTATGCTCAGCCAATCATTCACATGTGACAACCACAGAAAGCCATTCCTAGACATGCAAACATTCAGAGAACTTTCCTGAAAGAAAACACACATGCGCACGGATGCACACACACACACACAAAAGAATGACAGTAGAGTAGTAAAACCAGTATAACTCAAGAATTAGTCAAGATCATCGTGGCTAACAAGTTGTAAAATAGAATAACAATCAATCAGAAAACAGCTTCAGAAGAGAAATAAAGTAATGAATACCATCATCCTCATTATCAGTCTCTATCCCTATATCCATCCCTAAAATCCCAGGAGAAGGAAGAAAGTAAAAGTTGTCTCAAAATCCCATCTTAGATGAGAAAGAGTCATGTTTTCTGTTTCATTACCGACCCTGGTATAGAAATGAGTCTAAGTATGTTATTTAATATACTCCTCACATACTCCATACTCTAAAATATTTTTTCTAAATTATTAGTATAAAAGGAGAGCAAAGAAAATCTGATTGGCTGGGCATGGTGGCTCACGTCTATAATGCTTACACTTGGAGAGGTTGAGGTAGGAGGATCACTCGAGCCCAGGAGATCAAGACCAGCCTGGGTAACATGATGTGAAACACCGTCTCTAAAAAAATATGTAAAAATTAGCCAGGCATGCTGGCACGCATCTGTAGTCTCAGCTAGTCAGGAGGCCAAGGTGGGAGGATCTCTGGAGCCCAGGAGGTCGAGGCTAAAGTGAGCCGAGATCACACCACTGCATTCCAGAGCAACACAGCACGACCCTGTTCCATCCTCTCTCTCCCTCTCTCTCTCTCTCTCTCTCTCTCTCTCTCTTTCTCTGTGTGTGTATATACACACACACAGAATGTGCCAACACACACCAAGATTATGGTAGTGAGTAACAAAACCAATGTAACTCCAGAATTAAGTCAAAATCATTGTGGTGAACAAAGTTATACAATAGAATAACAATCAGAAAACAGTTTCAGAAAGATAAAGTAATTAACACTATCATCCTCATTATCAGGCTGTATCCCTCCACCCATCCCTAAAAATCCAGGATGAAGAGAGATACGTAATAAATTAATGCATACATTTGATTGATATAGCAAGATAGAAAAAGGATAAGAGAACCATAAGCACATTTAACAATATTGATTTTTAAAAGTCCTAAATTAAATATTTGCATATAGTATTCAGCAATGTTGTAAAATTATAATACCATTAATAATGCATGGACAGTTCAATATTAAGAAATCCATTAATATAACATTCATTCAACAAATATTTGTGTCTGTTATGTGCCAGATATGTGAGAACAATGTAACTTGCTCAATCCTTCTCTCGAAAACACCTGCCAGGCTCCCTATCCTCATCACTCTCTAGTTCTTTTCTTCATAGCACTTATTATTCTCTGTAATTATCTTCACCTTTATTTTGCTTGTTTATTGTCAGTCATCTTTCACTAAAATGCATTTTCTCCAAGATCAACACCCGGTGTGTCTTGGTCACAGCCGCATGTACAATGCCTAACAAAGAACCTGACCTGTCATAGCTGATGATTCATTCAATTTGTGTGGCATTAGTTTAATATTAATGCAATTTATTCAGTCGGTATTTGCAATTAAACAAATGAATGTATGTCTACGAGTGAATGGAGGATGGAGATTCTAAATCCCCGCTCTGACGGTGCTTATCATTTGGTAGGAGAGACAGACCATCTGAGCACTCCCATGGTCAGTGTCAAAATCCAATTTGGCTAAGCATGGTTGCTGAATAAAAAGACGGCAATTGTTTTGCAGGAACCTTCCACAGCATCCTCTCGAGAAAAGCCTGGAAAACTAGAAGCACAAAGTAGTAACTTCCTGTTTCCTAAAGCCTGCCACCAAAGGGCACGCAGCAACTCAACCAGTAAGTGTCTCCCCAACACGTCTTCAGGAACAGGGCTTAGCTGGTCCTGGGTAGCAGGAATATCGGGAGGAGGGTGGATTTCTTCTGGTCCAGTTGTACTAAACCAGCGTTGGAGTGTGCTCACCTTCTTCACAGTGTGTGCATGCTCTGGCTAGCCAGGGGCCTCTGCATTGGCTGTTCGAGCTCTGTGCGGTCTAGCCAGCTCCCTTCATGGCTCCAGGTCCCATGCTGGAAAGACCTGGTGCTGGGAAGAAGGGGCGGGGTTTTACTCCTGCCCTCCTGCTCTGCCTCCTCACATGCTCCTTGGTCCTGGGACGGCTTCTCTCTCTCAGCTGCAACTAGATGGAGGTTGAGGTCGAAAGATCTCATGATTTTTATTTGCTGAAAATCAAAGAATGCCAATACAGAGTCAAGAAAATGTGAAGCAGGCAAGGATGCAGAAAAACCTGAAAAAATTAAAATCACACCAAATCATAGTATTAGAGAGAATCGATATTAACATATTCAGTTATTTCCCTTCTATGCCTATATATACTATAAAAACCTTTACACACACACACACTTATTCACACGTAACTACCTCATGTCACCAGAAACTCTTTGGTGTACACCAGTTTTTAGTGGATCCATGGTATTTCATGGCATGAATTTATGAAATCTAGTTGACCAACCCCCTATTGTTAGATATTTATAAAATCTACTTAACCAAATCCCTGTAATTAGGTATTTCAGTCATTTTCAGACATTCAGTCATATCTCATCACAAACTCAGACAAAATCATGAGATCTTTCAAAGAAAATGCGGAAGGCAGTGGCTGGTTCAGAGCTCACGTTTGGGAGCTAAGGCACTTGAATTTGGGTCCTGCTTCCAGAACTAGTGACCTACGTGACCTTGGGAGACTCCCTTAAAATCTCTAAGTCTCATATTATTCTGTTGTATGATGCGCCATCCTTAGTGATTTCCTATTATTGGAAATAAAAATATTTTTTAAAAGCTACTTGCTTTTTTATCATAAATTTTTACTTATTTTCTTCTAGCGAGATTTTCTAAAAATGGAATTTGGGGTCAAAAGATAGACGCAGTTTAAGGCTTTTTATCTATATTGCCAAATGTCAGTAGCTAATATTCTTTCAATAATGTATATGAACACCTATTTCTTCAATCATAGCCCACACTGGATTATGATTTGTAATAAATATTTGCTTTATTGCAATTTATAGCTTTACAGGTTTTTCTCCTTCCCCTTCCTCATTCGCCCATTCTGTTTTTTTACTGTTTTGTTTTACATGCAAGACCAGCTATATAGTTCATAGGGTTCAGTGTAAAACGAAAATGCAGGATTACTATTCAAAAAATATTAATAACTTCAAAAAGGTGGAAGAAAATCTTTGAACCAAGTTGGGATTCTTCAATCACAGGGCCCCAGGTGACTGTGCAGGCCACGTGCCCCTGAAGCCAGGCCTGCTCAGCCCCTGGAAGCTGACCCCCTCGGAGCTCCCTGGCTCTCTGGCTTCTGATTGAGTTCGGTCAACGAGAGGCATCAATACAAGACGGGCAGGTGGAAGAGGGCCGCGGGGCGTTTCCTCCCTGCTCCCCCACCTTGGTGCTGGAGTGCTGGCAGTGGCTGTGCGCCTCTGTGACAATAAATCGTGTCAGGGTGGCCTGTCGGCCCCAGTGCCCACTAGGCTCTGGTAACGCTGTTTTCCCACTTTACCCCTTCAAGCCTGAGTGGTAACAGCTTCTGGTACCTGAACAGACCTTGTCATTTTCTAACTCTGCCCGCTCTTCTGTGTATGGCCCCCTTACTCTGTCCTCAGAATCCCAACTGAATGTGCCTTTTGTTTCTTTCCCAAACCCTGACTGATACACTGATAAAAATAGATGAAAAAAAGTACCTAGGCTGGGTGTCACGGCTCACGCCTGTAATGCTAGCCCTTTGGGAGGCCAAGGGGGGAGGATCACTTGTACCCAGGAGTTTGAGGTCAGCCTGGACAATATAGTGAGACCTTGTCTCCACAAAAAAAATTTAAAAAACAAACAAGCTCACCAGGCCTGATGGCTAATACCTGAGGTCCCAGCTACTCAGGAGGCTGAGGTAAGAGGATCACTTGAGCCCAGGAGGTTGAGGCTGCAGTGAGCCATGACTGTGCCACTGCATTCTGGTCCGGGCAAGAGAGGGAGAGCCTGTCCCTGCCCCCCTCCCACCCCGGCCGCCCCAGCTAAAAGACCACCTCTTCATACAGGTGAAGTTAAACATTCTTTCATTTATTTATTTATTTTGTTTTTGGTGAGTTTGCCTATTCTTTATTGGAATAATCATGGTTTTATCATTAATTTATAAAAAGCCTCTTGGCTAAATTAATATTTGATGTCATACTTGTTGAAAATACTTTCTCCAGTTTGTTTTTATTTTCATTTTTTTAACATTAAGGTGTTTTAATCTTTATATAATCAAGTTTACTGATCTTTTCTTTTGTAATGTGAAAGTTACTTCCACATCCAGGTAACTATTAGATCTGTGACTCTATATTCTTCTAATTTGTAAATGATTTGTCTTTTTTTCTCAAATTTACTGTATCATCTGTAATTTATTTTTGGCGTTTGGTTTGATGTAAGAATCTAGGTAGTTTTTTTTTTTTTTTTTTCCTAAATGAATAGAGAATGATTCTGGCATCACTTATTTATAATCAGTTCCTTTTATTTTGTCTTTTTTGTTTGTTTGTTAATCTCATGCAAATGATATGGGGTTACATCCTTGAACGCAAATTTTGCCATCTTTTTAAGAAGAGAAGCTCAAATAGTTGCCATTAGTGTTCAGATCATATTTACTTTTACTTAGCTCTTTCCATGCTTTCTATTTTGATGGTTCTTTGCCCTTTGTGTGTTCTTGGCCTCTTGCTATAATGATTTTGAAAGGTTTATTCAATTTTTGTCTCCACTTCTGATGTCCTTTAAGTTTTAACTAATTACCCAGTTAAGTTTAATCAATTAATACCTGACATAACATTTTCCAAATTGTCCCCCTCATGAACGATGAGGAAGTTAGCAGGGTGTTATTCATCCCTTTTCCATGGATTTTTCCATTTTTCAATTCAACATAACTTTAAATTATAAACTCATTATTACATAATCATGACAATATATAGCTCCCCTTTCAAAAACTATTTTGTTTTGTTTTTTGCGTTGGGTTGTAATAACCACATTATTATTTTTTTTTGAGACGGAGTCTTTGAGTCTTTGAGGCAGTGACGTGATCTCGGCTCACCGCAACCTCCGCCAAGTGGCTGGGATTACAGGCGCCTGCCACCACACCCAGCTAATTTTTTTTGTATTTTTAGTAAAGACTGGGTTTCACCATGTTGGCCAGGCTGGTCTGGAACTCCTGACCTTTGGATCAGTCTACCTCGGCCTCCCAAAGTGCTGGATTACAGCAATAACCACGTTTTCAATTAACTCATTCAATACTCTATACTTAACTGGTTTAAACTCCCCCCAGTGGAGATGATAATTCTGATACATTTCCTAGTTGGCTGGAATGCATCCACAAGCAATCAGGAGCAGTGGGTGGAAGTGGGCACTGAAACCTACCCCAGACCAGGTAGAGTTTCGGAGAACCCACTCTGTCCTGCCTCTGGCCCGCGTCCCCACAGATCTGAGTGCCTAGTGGGAACTGGAGTGGCCACACAGGTGGAGCTGGGTGTGGCCTGAGCAGCTGCCCTGGACTCTCCTGTGGCTCTGAGGTCTGGCTGATCTGCGCTGTGAACCATTCCAGGACGGCAGACTGTTCGTCCTCATTCCCTCTGAACCCAAACCATGCACCACCGCCCACTTTCAGGTCACAGGTCACCTCTGCGCTGCTGTGGGATGAGGAGCGGAAGAGACTGGGATCCTGGAGGCTGGGGTTATGCCTCAGTCTCTTTCTTCACTGTTCCAGAACCCTCTGGGCTTCCATTTCCTCACTGACAGAGTAAGGAGTAACTCCAGCAGCGGTCCCGAACGACAAAGGGTGGGCCGCCTGCGTCACCTGCACAGGCTGACAAACACACAGGTTTCCCCAGGCCCCATCCATACAAACACGGATCAACAGGTTGGGTGGAGCACTGAAATCTACCATTCTATGAAACACCCCTGATAAAGATAACACACAGGCAGGTTTAGCACTAGGGGGTCTCTAGTCTCTCCTCTCACCCCCCTTTCTTGATTCTGTGTCCTCTCTTTGCAGCATATGTGGTTTTCTGAATCTTCTGGCTTCCTCTCCCTCCTGGTCCATCTGGGAGCAATTGGTCCCTGTAACTCAGAGAAGGCCACCTACTCTTGCCGAGGCAGCTGCTGGGAGCAGCTGTCCTCACAGAGGCATGTTTCCCCAGCCACTGTCTGAGCCCCGACGGACCGAAACCTCTCCTTCTTCACCTTGTCTTTGTCCCTTTCCTCATCCCCTGTTAGGGATCTCACACCCTCAGGGATGCCACTCCTCTTTCTTCTCAACCTACCCTGGCCAGTGGCATCTTCTCTTCAGCCTATAAATAAGCTTAAGTCTTTCCCATCCTGAAAATAAAAGCAAACCCAACCCTGCTTCATCCTTTGTTTCCTTTGAACTACCACCAATCTTACCTTTTCCTTTAGGAGAGCTTTTTTCACAAAAGCCTGTCCATTCACTGGAGCTTCGCCTGCCCCTCAGGACAGGAGGCAAACCCCGCCCCTCTCCTGGCCTCTAGAGCGGCCCTGCCCAACGCATTGGCCACCTGTAGTCTTGGGCACTTGAAATGTGATTTATCCAAACAGAGATGTGCACAAAGCATCAAAGACACTGGATTCCAAGACTGAGTACAAGAAGAAAAGGAAGTAAAATATCTCACTAATAATTTTACCTATTATTTATATGTTGCAAGAACAATCGTTTAAATATAACAGACCAAATAAATTATTAAAATTAATCTCTCCTATTTCTTT